AAACAATCAGGTGAATAACATAAAGTAACGTGGCTTATTCTCACACACCCAAGCATACAGTTTGGTTCACCTAGAACCTTTAACTTAAAGCACAGACCCTGAACCCATCAGTTCTGGCTAACCAACAGACACCTGAACCTATCAGGTTGGTACTCTGACACACAGAAGTACCCTGTCTGACACACAGACTCCCACAACAGCTCCTTCTTCCCAGCTGCTGCTTCGTCACAACCCAGTGTCTCAGTATCACTCAGCTCTCACCACACAGGCATCACATATTTATACAGTACAGCCCCTCCTCCTGATGTCCCGCCTTCCACTCCCCATAGGATGGAACTTTCCCTCCAAACCCATGACAGACAGGTAACATCAGTGCTGTTATGTAACAGTGCTTTCAAAAGATGGACAGATTTGGCTTACTACTTTTAGTGCCTGGCTGAATTTTACCATCCAGTTATTGATAACTCCATGGTACTGTTCTAGTGTTTATTTTCAGTATGGCATTCTTGTATCTTACCAGAGTTAATAAGATGAAAATAATTGCCCATGTTCTTCCAGGCTAATATTGAGAATGTGGCGCTGCTGAGCAAGATGGTACAAAGGGAAATCCCAAGAACCATCAGGGCTTTCCCTTCAGATAACAAGTCTGTTTTCAACTATAGTTGTCAGACCTTGAATTCTGCAGAAATTGCAAAAAAACTCCTTCGTCAGGAGATGGCTCAGGTGAGAGAACCACTAATACATTCTTGTTTAATTATGTCATCTGTTTGGTTGCTTGAAGCATGTATGTGCAATAGCCAGATTGTTTGCTTCACAGAATTCTAGAGTCCTGTCTCAGTTCTGACCCTAGGCCAAATTATCCAACAAAATTTGTTTCTGCTTTGTTGCCTAATTATTTGTTTCAGTCACCTATGATTATCAATATTTCCTGTATTTGTGTGTGGCCAATTTCCTCCCAGTTACTTGCAGAAAAGCTTCCCATTTCTTCTTCACCACCATGTATGGTATAAACTTTAATGATGGTTACTTACCTGTAGCGGTGGTGGTTTGAGTGATCATTTGTAAATTCATGCAACTCACCCTGCTACCCTCAGTCTCATTATCATCATTAAACATTGGGGGTAACTAAGAAGGACCATTAAGGAGTATCTCAGCATGTCTGGATAAGAGCTGGAGAGGAGAATGTCTAAAGAGCTCTGGAGCATTCTAGCTACCGCTCAGTGGACATGCAGAACCCAAATGTGTGAGTACTTGAAGAATCACGGTGTTACAAATAAGTAACATGCCCTACATTTTAAAGTTCAGTACAAACTGGCCAGAAATATTCACATATCTGAGGCATTTCCACAGGTTGATGTGTAAGCTATGTTCTGAATTCTTAACATTGCTGCATATCTGGAGATAGATCCAGTATCTGTTTTCCACAGCCAGAAGGGATCTGCCCACAGAAGATGCATCTGTCCAGTTTCTAGGGATTTCTGCTTTCCCTTCCGACATCACAGATCATTCAGCAGTTTTCCAACCCACTTCAGTACCATCTTCAGGAAAATGGAGGGGCTGCTAATGTCTTCTTTATCTAGCCCAGCTGCACGTGTTTAAACTTGGTTTTAACTCTCAGTACTATACACAGAATCATGATTTCAGAACTTTCATATTCTCGTTTTAACCCAGTATGTCAAAGTGAGGATCATCTGCAGAGTTTCTCAGTACCTACAATATACACGAAAATAACAATAGTGATAAATTAGCCAGCTAACTCTTTAATAATGTACATTATGTTACTTTTACTGTTGTCGTGTGCCATCAAGTCAAAACTGACTTACAGTGAACCCAATAGGGTTTTCAGGGTGAGATATTTAAGGAGTGGGTTTACCGGTTTTACAGCCCTAGTTAGTTTCCACGGCTGAGTGGGGATTCAAACCCAGGCCTCCTTCATCTGTCACTCTCTCCACTACACCATACTGGGTATCCAGTTACTGCCCATATATTTATCACAGCCATATGTTAGGCATGTATACAGGAATTTATTATGAAATTAAGTTGGAAAATGTATTCAGTTTCCTCATTTTAGTTCAGACACCTGTGGTGAACCCTAGTGGATGACTAAAAGAAATATTTCAAAACACTGATCCTGTCTTAGGCACCTGGAAAGAGGTTTGCTTATGGTCATGAATATCTGTCAGGCATGTTTGACCCCGTGGATGTGGAGAGCACTCTGAAGGAATCCAAGCGACAGTCAAAGCAGCTGTGGCTCTCATCCGAAGGGTTTGTGTATCCTGGATTTAAGAGCAGCTTTGAAGCCAACATGCATCCTCGTATGCCAGATGAGGCACGGCTGATGGAGCTAAAAGAGGTAACAGCCCCTTTTTCTTTCACGTTCTTGTCACACTTGCAGCATGCTCAGATTGGTGTTTTATTCTCACAACAGTTCTGTGAGAGAAATCTGGTACATGAAATGTTACTTTTTCCCACATAGTAATTTTAGAAGAGGTAGCCATTTTAATCTGTGCTAACATATCAGGCAAAACAAAGGAGAAAAAAAAGAAGACAAAAATGTAACAACTTAACGATTTACTGCTATATTTTAATGTGAGCTTTCATGGACAAGTCCACTTCCTCAGACCACATGTTCTCTGTTCAATTCTTGAAATTGGTATTAAAGGCCATTCCTTAGGTTCTCTCTCCAGGCAATTGATGGTGGTGATGGGTGTTAAGGCTCAGTTAAGGATTTCTTTCCAATATGGACTCACCAGGCATTTGCTTCGATGTCCTTTTCAGTGCCAGGGAAGGATCTCTTCATTTCCTAAAGAGCAACTTCTTTAACTTTTCATTTCCTTTTTAATCCCCAGGTTTTACCTCACAATATATTTAAAAATATTAATTTGGAGTTTGATTTTTTTGCTGTCTCATATTTTAGCATGGCATTTGCTTCGTTATCCTTGAAAGTTGACTGCTCTCTTCTGCGCAGGCAATTTTGTGTTTGTGTTTAGTCGTTTAGTTGTGTCCGACTCTTCGTGAGAAAAAGAGCATTGTCTGCCCATATATGGTGGTTAGTTTAAGAATGGAAAAGGACATTTCCATTCTTAACTAAATGGAACTGAAAATACTGTGCTTTAAGTGGTAAATAAAAAATGCTATTACAAGCATTTTTATGAGCGCATGGACCAGAGTGGTGAGGGCCCCACCATCAAGATAGGGACGCAGCTGGGCAATCCATCACAGATGGTAGTTGGCGGAGCGGACCACTGACACCACCTGGGTTTCCATGGTGAGTGCCGGGTCCAGATGTACTCCCAAGCTGCGAACCTCACTCTTCGTGATGAGTCATCCCCCACAAAAGAGAGGGAATTTCCCAAGCCACCAATGGAGGGGCCACCCACCCTCAGGACCTCCGTCTTGTCTGGGTTCAGCCTCAACCCATTCTCCTGCATCCATTGCAGTACAGCCTCCAGGCAACGCTGAAGGGACAGAACAGCATCCACTGAAGTAGGTGAAAAGGAGATGTAGAGCTGCGCGTCATCAGCATACTTACGGCACAAGGCTCCACACCCTCTGATGATCCCACCAAGCTGCCTCGTATAGATGTTAAATGGCATTGGGGAGATGATCGATCCCTGTGGAACCCCACAATTGAGACTCCACGGGGCTGAGACTCTCCCCAAGCTGAACTCTGTGAGGACGGTCCTCCCAGTAGGATCGGAGCCAGGCAAGCACCAGGCCACCGATTCCCAACTCGGAGAGCCTCCCCAGGAGGATACTGTGGTCTAATCTCGAGATTACAAGCGGATGGACCAGAGTGAACATTGGTGAATAGCATGAACATTTGTCCTCACAAATTAATGGTCCAAGAGCTGGACCGTTAATTTGTGAGGACAAATGTTCATGATGTAGAGGTGAGGGTTGAGATAGGAAGGCATGATTTTCAACTTTCAAGCTTGAGACGGTGGGCCAAAACAAAATAGAGCCCTTTCAAAGGTTACTGATGTTTAAGAAAGGAAAATGCTGAAAGCTTATTTGAAATAGTGTAACTCATGAGCCAGAGGTATATCCTTCTGAGAGACTGAATTTCAGTTCTTATACTAATCAGATGAATGGGTTGTCCCTGGACTTGGGAGTGACATGATTGCCTCAGCCGTGTCCAAGAGCATGGTCATTTTTCTTTTCTTTTTTCCTAAACCCAAAATTTTTGCTTTGAGCTGCTCCTCCCCATGGTTTGTTATAAACTGCTCTGGAAAGTACTCTCATCTTTCAAAAGATATTTGCTCTGTGCAGATGAGAGCTAGTGTTCAAGAAACACAAGCCCAAACTGGGACCTAAGTACCAGCAAGGTACTATTTTAAATAATGGGCTTAGTTTTGAGCTTTAATTTCCTCTGTGTATCGAATTACTTCTTTACTATTTGACATCAGGGAGTTGCTTCGTGGAAGATACTGTCAGTTTCAGCACAGTATATTGTATTTCCAAAGTAGGAGATTGCTGTTTAATTTAAATATGTACGTTACCCTAAACTTTCTAAAATACTGTATTTTTTGTCTAGAAATGGCAGGAGAACTTTTTAAACGCTGGCAGTCTGAAGCCAGTCCTGGATCGAGACCGATGGAGCTGGGATAAACGGAACATTGATTTTGAGCTTTATAAAAAACCAACATATGTCCTTGTGAGTCCCGACACCCACAGAGAAGGTTAATATTACTTTGTACTTTCCCATTATTGTTCTAACTACTTAAGAAAGGGCAAATAGGGCAAAAGTGTTTATGGTGAGGGCTGAGAGATCTACTAACCCTCAGTGGATTCTGAATAGCATAATGTAAAGTGCCTCTGTGCAATTTATAGGGCATCTGTGTAATGAGATTACATTGCTGGACATCACAGTGACATTCCTTGTTAGGGAAGCAAAGTGCCCTTTCTATGTACATTACCACAATGGCCTGGGATCTGCTTTCCTCCACATGTATTCTCATAGCATTGCTGTAATGTGTGAAAGCAAGTTTTGTGGCATAACCTGCGCAGTTACTTGCAACTTATGACTGGAGGCTTTTGTTAAAGCAGCCACTGTGGGATCTGCCGTAGAAAACAGCTCCATGATCTCTTACATAATACATGAAGAACACCTTTGTTTCTGTTGCTTCTGATGGGTGGGAAACTATTAGCAGCTTTTGTCCTGGAATGGGGTGAGGGCTGCTGGCGGCCATTTTCCATGTAATGGAATTGTAATAGTTCTATATTCAGATGTAAAACTTGCCCAGCTAGATAGAAAACAGATATGTTTCCATAACAGTCCTGCCTCTTTTCTGAAACTGCAGGAAAGAGGCAGCCTCTTTCCGAGGTGTATTTCTCTAAGCTAGTGGGACTGTCAGTTTTAAGAGGATTTTAGGGCAGGTGTTGGACATCAGCTCCCCCCACTCCAGTCAACCTAACCAATGGCCAGGGATGATGGGAGTAATTAGCAAGCAACATCTGAAGGGCCACTAGTTCACCATCTCTGTTTAAACTAAACTAACTAAAAATGTAGGAAGGCCAAACAGAAGAATATCAGGACGGCAGTGATGTGATTCATGCTATTAATGCATTTACAATGGTCATGGTAGGTTCATCTTGTTGTCCTGGCTCGCCTCACTCCATCTCAAATCACTGTTTTAGCGAGGCCGATTTCCACAGGGACATTTTCAGAATCACTTATCAGCTAATCATTATTAATTTTTTTTAATCTGAAAGAAATAATGTGATAGCCGTTTCATAACCCTGTTCTGTCTGGCCTTTTCTCACGGGCATGTCTGAATACAAGACCCTCCAAAAGATGCACGTTGCAACACTGCACTGAAAGTCCACAGGTGCTGTCCAGCAACAGAGCTCATTTCAAGTGGACCAAAAGCCAGTTGCCAGCTAGCACGCCTCCAAGGACTCCTGAAAGATAAACCGGTCAAATTGTCCCTAAAGATTAAGGTAACATCTACTTAGAAATCACAAACCCATCAGAAACACTTGTTCCAGGTGTATTTGAAAAGACACTGTCATAAAATAATTCAGGAAGCTTTCCTAGATGTTGTGTATGTCTTGAACTCCAAGACATATGTAAAGAGACTCGAAAGATATATCAGTCCTGTATCCATTCTGTTCAGTCTTATTTCAGTTCTGTTTCCTAGCCTGTGGCCATGATTTCCTAGTAGCTTTAGCCTCAAATGCATTTCAAGTTCCTAAGGCTAGAATTAATCGTTTGATATCTGTATGTTCACCAAGAAGCTGTATAGTGAAATCTGCTCCCCTCTCTCCCCCAGCCTATTCCTGTTTTGGGAATGCTTGATGATGTGGCTGACGACACTGTTTGCAAAGGATTTGTTCCTGGCGCTGACACTTCCCAAAGCTTGAAAATGAATAAGAATATAATTCCATGCTATGACCGGAAGTACAGTTTTTTTAAAAACTTGAGAGGTGCAGACTTCAGGTAAATTATGTGGTTTCTGTGTAACTGTGTAATTTCTTTTGTGTCAAAAAGAAATTGTAAAGACATATTGATCTATTTATCTATGCTTGTCTCTCTGTGTATATAATTACAGATCTTCTCTTATGAATTAAATCCCAGCAAGAATTTAGTCATTACCTTATCCAGGCTTCTAGTTTTGCCCATCCACTCGGAAGGATGATTAATGCCAAGACCTTTTGCAACCATAGATGCTTTCTAAAAAGCACATATAAAATTTTCACCTTTATTCTCAACATCTGAGTTTGACTGGAAAGAGGTGATTTGTGAAATGTAAAGTTTGACATTCCTTTCTAAACAAGTCAGCCCCTCTAAAGCTGGGCATGGCTCACATCGTATCATGAAAGTTTACATCAGGCGTGGGCAACCTAGACCTGGCCAGATATTTGTCCCTGTTGTTCCCACACCCTCCCCCCAAATGGCCAAACTTTGATAAAACTCAAAACAGGAAGTGACTGGCCATCCAATTCTGGGGGGCTTTTTGAGCTTTTTGTGGTTATGGGGCCCTCCAATGCAAAAGAAAATCTTTGCTCCTATATGCCTCCAGGAACAGGAAAAGACCTTATGTTTTGGCTTGGGAGAAGCCTGAAAAACAGCATTGGGGAACAATATGGAGCCCTCGGCTGACTGACTCCTGGTTTCAGTTTTTTAAAAAGGCAATTCATAAAGTGCTAGAGATAGATTTCAAATGTTTAACAATCTATTCTTGTTTTTAGGTTAGTCTGCCATAAACATTTGTTTCAATCCAAGAGGTGGCCCTTACAACGAATACACTTAAAAGATGACATCTTAAAAAATGATACACAGGATGCAGGTAATCTTGGGTACAGAGATCACATAACACTCCTGTTACAGCAGCTCCACTGCCTGCCAGTCCTTTTCTGGGCAGAATTTAAGGTACTGGTTCTAACATGTAAAGCCCTCAATGGCTTGGATCGAACTATCTCAAGGACAGCATCTCCCTTTATGAGCCTGCCTGGCTGTTAAGATGATCAGGAGAGGCCTTTCTCTCCGTCCTGCCACCTTCACAGGTGTATTTGGTGGGAACATGGGAGAGGACCTTTTCTGTTTCTGCTCTCAGAATTTGGAAGTCCCTCCCACAGGTCAGTCGTGGCTCCATCTTTGCTGTCCTTCTCTAAGCAGGGAAAGACCTTTCTCCTCAGGCAACCTTTCCCTTAGTGACTGGCTGCCTAGGTGCTTTTTAAATATAGGGTTGTGCCTTACTACTTCAAGTGTGTTTTTGATGTTGCTTTTGTTATCATTGTTTAGTGTGGTATTTTTTTAAATCATTTTCAGTATTTGTATACTATTCTTAGCTTTCAATATTGTCTTTTAATAATCTAAGCCACCTTGGGTCTTTCTTAAGGAGAAAGGCAGAGTAATTTTTTAAAAAATAAATAAAATAAATAGAGGCAGTTCCCTGATGATGAAGGTAAAAATTTAGAGATCACTTGTCATTTCTCCTGTTCCCACCAGTCCCTTGATAGTTTTCCAGGCAAAATAATTACCCATTTTGAAATAACAAAGACTGAAAAGATTGTTCATAATTAGGCATTACAGACTCTTAAACTGTGCATTAGAATTTCTCAAGGATTCATTTCTGTAAATGACCCACCAGCAGGGGAGAACCTTTCCTCTACTTGTTAAAAACAAAGAGTATGGGGGGGGGAAGGGGGGCATGTTAGAGATTGTATATCAGGTACATAATAATCTGGAGTCTGATTTATCTAGTTGGGTAAGAGATACTAGAATTGGCACCATTCAGTAATCTAGCACTGAATTTCTGAAATAATACAAAAAAAAAAATCAAGTATACCTAGGTCATCCAGTCAGCTACCCTACTTGGTGCAGTGTGCTTGAAACTACAGTATCGTATCACTGATGGATGGCCACCCAGGTTTTGATTAGAGTACATCTAAGGAAAAAGAGCCTGTTGTTTCGAAGCAGTCTGTTACACTAGCAAATAGCTGTTTCCATTAAAAACGCTTCTCTTAATGTGTAGCAAAAAATTGCTTCCTTGCACTTTCCACCATTTGATTCCACCCCATCTTCTGGAGCAACAAAACATATGTGCTTCATCAACTGCACAATAGTCCTTAGGGTAGCTGAAGAGAGATGCTGGGTTTTCCCTGAATTGTGCCTGATCCACTCCTCCAGCTGTTCCTGATAGAATCTCACTATTCTAGCCATCTTCCTCTGCACTTACCTCTGCCCCATTGAGATTGTGTTTCATATTTCTCAATTCAGGTATATATAATGAAATAGTTTATTTTACAACAAATTACACTGCAGCTGTTGGAAAGCATGTCTTGTTCGGAAGACTTCTGTCTGTCATACACTTTGCCTAATGACAAACTTGAAGATCTTGTTTTCATATATTCAGTTGTACTGTGGGATATTTGGCTCCAGTGGTATATTAAAGTAGGAACACTTTAGACATCAGTGGAATCATTTTCCCGACCATCAGAATGTTCTATCAAGTGGATGTGAACAAACATAGGTTCTTTTCTCTAGCACCTGCTTGGCCACTTTTTTAATACTGTCATCCATATTTTCAATATTATCTAGGGGTAACAGAAACAGAAGTAACAATTCTTTTAGAGCTACATATAAATGAGAGAAACAGAATTTTAAAATCAAAGACTGTAAACACAAGCTGTTGAGATGGTAGCAGCCATCTGTCATGTTAGTACTAATTATGAGGAAGAGCATATAACAGAGAAGGCCTGCTTTGGCATCCAAATTCTTAACGCATACTTGAAGACATCTTCCATGGACCAAAATGGTGTCAACATTAATAACAATTATTATTATTATTATTATTATTAGTATTAGTATTAGTATTAGTATTAGTATTGTGTGCTGTCAAGTCATATTTATTTAATTTATACCCCGCCTATCTGGTCAGTGAGGACCACTCTTTGCTTTTCATAGAATCATCAAATAATGGAGTTGGAAAGGGCCTATAAGGCCGTCAAGTCCAACCCCCTGCTCAATGCAGGAATCCAAACCAATAACTTTCTTAAAACTTACCTTCTCTTCAATGCACTCACCACCTTACGAGGTAATTAGTTCTATTGTTGTACTGCTCTAACAGGAAGTTTTTCCTGATATATAGTCAAAATCTGGCCTCCTGTAACTTGAGCCCATTATTACATTCGCTATGAAATGATCAAGAACAGATCCTGCTCTTCATCTTTATGACAACCTTTCAAGTATATGAAGAGTGCTATTTTATCTTCCCTCAGTCTTCTTTTCTCAAGGCTAAACATATCTAATTATTTCAGTCTTTTCTCATAGGACCTGGTTTCCAGGATCCCTGGATCCTTCCCCATTGCCTTCCTCTGAACTTGTTCCAGTTTGTCTGCGTCCTTCTTAAAATATAGTGTACAAAACTGCACACAATACTCAAGATGAGGCCTAACCATTGCCATATAGAGGGGAACTGGTACTTCCCAGGATTTGGAGACTATACTTCCATTAAGGCAACCTAAAATAGCAGAGGCCTTTTGATCTTCAACAATTCCAACATCCTTCTCCCATGTAGTATTATTGAGCCAAGTATTCCCCATCTTGTTATTCTATGTATGTTTTCTCGCTTAAGGATAGAACTTAACACTTTCTCCTTTTACGTTTTAGTCTGTTGTTTTCAGCCCAGTTCTCAAGCATATCAAGATATTTTTCAGTTTTGTTCCTGTGTTCAAAGGTATTAACTATTCCACCCAATTCTGTGTAATCTGCACACCTCCTCATCCAGGTCATTAATAGAAACTGTACCTAAATACTTAGTCATTATTTTCTAAGAAATCCCAGAACATAACATGTTAGTAGTTGACTTGACTTGTGACACTTACTTTTCTCCAACTCCGCCCTTGCATAATTATTCTGTAAAAATGCTTCAGTGCAGAAAATGTTTGCAAGCAACACCTAGAAAATTAGTTAAATCATTAGTAGTATGAATTATTTCTACCCTAACATCTGCTATGTAAAATCATTTCTAGATCCACTATGTTTTGCCCAGTCAGTGGAAATTAACCCTCTTTCCCTCCTTTATTTACAGTGACTGTTGACCCACAGCTGAATGACACAGTGAATGAAGCTCACAAAAAGTAACATAAGAACCTTCTTACTTGTTACTATATTCACAATATTGTGTTTTATAACAAAAATTGCTGAAAAGTTGAAAAACTTCATTTTTGGTGTTGTGTAATTTGTTTTGTTTATTATTTACAGACATCTCCTCATAAAAACACGGTTTCACCCATCCACCTTTGCCCTTGGAAGGGCAATAGATAAAGGATGCTAGGTGGTAGCCAACTTTCCTTTATCACCACCACCAGACACATAAGCCTTGAACTGGAAGTCATTTTGTTTAAAAAGTCTGTGGCTATACTGTACATTACATAGGTTCTCAGAGTCCAGAGGAAAAGAATGAAGGGGCTGGATTTTATAAGATTGTTTTTATGCAGGAATTTATTTTCAACCATACATCTGAAAGCCTGTACATTCTTGCTGACACTGGAGAGAAAAAAACGAAGTAAACTTACCTCATGATCATGATTGCGCAAACCAATGGTGATGGATCGACTAGCTCTGGATATAACTGCTGTCATTGCATATATATTAATGAGCATGTTTGCCACTCTTTTAAGAACCAACTGCTCATCCACAATAGTCTAGTAGCAAAGAGAAAAACAAAACATATTTTAGTGGGTTACTAGCCATCATTCCAAACTGCCTAAGGAATTGTAGAGCATGTCACCACCAACATCAAGATAAACAATCCTCTGCTGCCAGAATTCACATATGCAAGTGAAGAATTTGACTGAATTTGATTTAAACTCTAAAAGATTCTGCACAAAAGCCAGGGCACTGAAAAAACACTTTTTATAGTTTCATTTGGTCTTCATACATCTTCTGTTTATTCATGCAAGATACTTCTATACAACTTTTCTAAAACCCATCAAGAGTGTGTACAGAAGTACAGTCTTATCCATGGGAGTGATTCAGAGGATTTTTAGAAGAGTGGTTCCAAACATTCACTTTAACTGGATGATTTTGGGTGGTGGAAAAGGAAGAAAGAGAAAGCTTCTGGTTCATCTCCCTGTAAGAATCTAAATACCTTGCCAAACCTCCTTAGCAAGCCTTCAACTGTTACTCCAAAATAATAAACATTCATTTCAAGCTTCTTGGCACTTTCCTGTAACACAAAAAAGCACAAACGATAAAAGGCTTTGTATATTTTCATTCTCAATTACACACACACACATGCAAAACAGATATGTGCAATTTTTAAAATCTTAAGCAATTGAATAGCCAACTAGTACTCCTACGAGAACTTAATTTCAACCTGTGACTTCCATTGCTGAGACCCCTCCATCTCGTGAGTGACTTACAATTATAGCAGATTTCATTACACTGGACCACAGCACAGATGACAACTCGAAGCTAGAATATTTAGGACAATTTATCTGGCACAGGTTTTATGAAGCAGTACAATAACAACTAATTCTGGAAAAACTGCATAGAATAAGTCACACTATTCTGATTTGTGATTCTTTTCTCAAGCAGACCTTTTTAAAAGGAGGCTATAGAATTTGATACACTAAGAGAAATTGTGGAGTCAGCCTTTTCCAAGTGGCAGTTCCTTAATTTCAAAATTGTATGTATGTGCAAATATACACATTTAAGATCCAGTTAGCAAAATAACACATTTCAAACAAAAGCAACATTCATCATTTATGATGACTATTGCACTCAACTAGGCCCACATTTTGATTAATTTTACAAGGGGTTTCCTTCCAGCTCTGTAGTTGTAAGATTCTACATATCAGTGACTAAATCCTGAAGGTACTGTAGATCAAGCTCCACACCATACAATTAATGTGAATGATGGTATGTTCAAGACTATGAGAACCAGAAGGAGACAAACATAAACATAAGAACTTAAGAAAAGCCCTGCTGGATCAGGCTAAGGGCCCATCTAGTTCAGCTTCCTGTATCTCACAGTGGCCCCACCAGATGCCCCTAGGATCACATGAGACAACTGGATACCTGTCTCCTGATCCCACTCCCCTGCATCTGGCATTTGGAGGTACCTTCCCTTTAAACCTGGAGATTATACATCCCCATCATGGCTTGTAATCTGCAATAGAGTTTTCCTCAAGGAATCTGTCAAATCCCCTTTTAATGGCATCTAGGCCAGATGCCATCACCACATCCTGTGGCAAGGAGTTTCACAGACTAACAACACACTGAGTAAAGAAATGTTTTCTTTTGTCTGTTCTCACTCTCCCAACACTCAATTGGAGTGGATGTTCCCTGGTTCTGGTATTGTGTGAGAGGGAAAACAGCTTCCCTCTATCCACTTTATCCCTCCCCTGAATAATTTTATACATCTCAATCATGTCTCCCCTCAGGTGCCTTTTCTCTAGACTAAAGAGCCCCAAATGCTGTAACCTTTCCTCATAAGGGAGGTGCCCCAGCCCAGTCATCATTTTAGTTGCTCTCTCTTCACCTTTTCTAGTTTCACTATGTCTTTTTTGAAGTGCGGTGACCAGAACTGTACACAATACTCCAGCATTTTGTACAATGGCATTAGAATGTTGGCTGTTTTATTTTCAATCCCCTCTTTAATGATACCTAGCATGGAATTGGCCTTCTTCACTGCCGCCGCACACTGGGTTGACACTTTCATCGAGATGTCCACCAGTACACCAGGATATCTTTCCTGATCAATCACGGATCACAGAACCCATCAGCTGATAAATAAAGTTTTGATTTTTTGCCCTAATGTGCATTACTTTTACATTTTCTTATATTGAAACACATTTGCCATTTTGCCGCCCATTCTCCCAGTTTGGAAAAGCTGTGACATAGAACTGATACAGCCCAGTTTCATAAAGCAACCAAAAAGGCACTCCTTTTCTTAGGGAGACTGGTTGGAGGTCTAGAAAGATTCCGCTTGGTTTCCCAAGTACTTGTATTTTCAAAGTATTAGCAATCATTTTCTTCATTTGAATAGTAGTTGTGAGTGTACAACTGCCAAGGTGACACTAACATATCCCAACACAATGGCTTAAATCCTATTGCTTAATGTAGTAAGTAAAAACTAGATGAGGCCCATTGAATGAATAGAATTTACAGAGGAGTTGAATCATAAGATCCTCACAGATTCAATGAGCCTAATTCTTGTTGTAACTATGTTTAGCAACAGGATTTCAGACAGTATTTATCTATTAAAAATAGTTCTGGTTCACTCCTCCTAAGAGAGCATGGGGATTAACAGATGTAAAACCACGAGTTAACAATAAATACAATGGGCTACTCCTTTAATGGCAGTATGCTTTCGGTTCTCCAAGGCACAGAACCAACAGTGACTCTCTGCTGAAGAAAGGGAGCAGCAATGGGATCCTCTACCAAGACCTTCTCCATGCTCATTCTACTCCACAAATATGTTCAACATCTCCGCCCCCTCAAGCATCTTGTCAAGAAGCATGTGGGGCTATAATGGGAAAAACTGACTTCACAGAGATCATCTCCCCACCCCCTTAATTCACAAATTAACAACAAAAGACTAACCGAGCAGTGAGAATAAAAAACATTAATACCGGAAACAGTAAGCCTGCTACAATAAAAGCAGCCGTATAAGATCCAAATAGCATCCTAAAAACAAAAGGGGACCTGATGAGCAGCAGTTCAGGGCCAAAGCACATGTTTCTCACACAGAAGGATTCTGATCCCTGGCATTTCCAGGGATGACTATAAAAAATTCTATGCAAAATCTTGGGAACCTTTTCCCAGTCCAATCACGCTACCCTGAGCATGACAGCCAAAATGGTTTGGTTTGTACAAGGCCTTTTGTTTCTGATCATGGGGCGTTCTTGGCAAAGATACTGGAGTGGCTTGCCATTTCCTACTCCAGGTGGAGTCCTACTCCAGGCAAGTTCTTAAAGAAATGGGAGTGCCGCAGAGGATGTGATGCTGTGAACTAACTCCAAAAATGCTTGCCAAAATTCATATTTGGACGAGAAAGAAAATGCCTAGACATCCCTACCACATTTGCATGGGCTACTTACATGCAGACTGGGATGCACCACTCCACTTCTCCCATCTTCATTCATAAGACCAAAATCTACTTTTCGACCAAACTCATCTTGAAGCCGGTTTACAATGAAATTGAACGTATGACCCAAACTGCCCTTCCTAATTTCCCTGTGGGGTTAAAGGACAGACAGAAAGCATTATTTTACTATGTATTGTTTAGACATGGCAGCCAAACTCCTGAATCATTCCCTTAAGCTTTGAAGTATTGCAAATGTATCTCTGACTGCTTCCCATTCCTTACAAATGGGTGAGAGGGGCTTAGCTGCACCTATTCCTTAAGTCTTGCAATGTATTGGAGAAGCCATATAGGTAGAATGACATGCAGAATCCCGCCACCTATCTACTGCGCTGATAGCAACAACCACTCAGCAATAGCACAGATTTCTGGATAATGTAGCATGTTACCCTTAAATCCTCCAGAAATGAGGGCTGCTGCAAACAGTCTTGATCCAAATGAACTTGTGTCTTCCTTACTGAAAAGACTAAAGCCCATGGGGCAGCACTAATTTATCACAGCAAAATTAAAGTAGGTTCCTTCCCAGAATGAAATATTAATCCTCTTGAATACATACAAGACTCTGCAATAAACATACAAAATTTTCAATTGTAATAGCACATTTTAGGTGTAACCTGCTCTTTCTAAAACTAAAAGACCTATTTTCCATTTTTGCTAAAGCATGTTAAATACCTTTAAGATTTAATTTTGATGCACACCCTTCCCTCAGTGCTTATCAGGCTACCAATTTTCAATCTGTATTCAGTAATCATTCATTTAAAATAGCTATTTCCAAAAAGCACATACTTTATTTGGTCAGTCAAGATCTTTCCTGCATACTGCATGCCTGTCAAAGCAATATACATTCGCAGAACTTCATTTGTTCCCTGAAAAAGAAAGAGACTGATTTCAGGCAACTTGAACATGGATCAGTCACGATTAATTAAAACCCCCGAAAAGAATAGTGATAGCATTAATGGATTGTATAGCCTTCTTATAACTTATGTTATTTAAAAAAAATCTTAGCTTTCGGCATTATTTGTTATCCAAAAGAAAAATTCTGGACAGTCTTTGTAACCTTCCCTGAAAATGTTTATTATTGGCTGAATAAAATAAGTATGTGAAGTTTTGCAAGATTTTTTAAAAAATCTTTTTTCTGTTATACTCAACTAAAATATACACGAAGAAAGCCAACTGAAACACCGTATTAAACAAAACTTTCTGCTAAAAGAAAAAGCTGATCATCATGAGAAATGAGAATGATATCTATGTAAGTTCTGAAAGCAAAGCACCCACATTTTTGAAGAGCTTGATTTGAAAAGATAAAAATGCTGATTGACTAAGATGATGCTACAGTATATTTTAAGCAGGTGCTGCTTAGCAATTAAAGCTTTCAAAATGAACAGATGGCTAAACAACAAGCTAATTAAAATTACTGCATACATTGACTGGGGATGCTAAAGTAAACAGATGCATGTCACACAATTGGCTTTAATTATAAACACCATTCTTTGTAGCGCACTGCTCTGCACCAAGTGGCAGTAAGAGAAGGCGACAGCACACAGTGTGCTATTAAAGCTGATCGCTAGGAGAGGTAGAAACTGACAGACCCAATGGTACTGTGTTAGCAGAGCCCCCCAGATGGAACTGACCCTTTAGATTGCTTATGTGTGGTCAGTTCAAATGTTTTAACATGTCACAAAAAACCTTCAAGCTGACTAAAATATTTGCTGCTTTGTCTTTTCCCACTTGCTATCATCCTTAACTCCATCTCACCAGAAAAATCTGTGTGAAAAAGAAACCAGTGCCACCCCATGAGGACATTCAGTGTGATCTCAATTTCTCCAAACAATATGATGGCTGTCATCAGTCCTGAGCATCAAAACTGGGCTAATTTTCCCACGCAGCTCCCAGTCAAAGGAAGAATCTGCACATTCAGTAGATTTCACCTTAACAAACACCTGGAGTGTGACTCTACATAATTATAAAGCATGTGGACAACACAGCTCAAAGAGTGCCAACTTCCACTTAAGGCTTTTCCTTTTCCTTGAGGTAAGACTGATTGTCTAAGATTTGTGTATCTTAAGCTATGAATTCACAGCCCTGCATCCACTGATCTAATTTTGCTGGTAAAATAAATGTCTTGGCAGTAGTGATTTCCACTGTGAGGTTTATTTGGATGTGTTCTGACAAGCAAACCAGAAGGTTTCTAAAGTGACCAGCTCAGCTTGGATGACTGGAGGGAAACACACAGCGGGACTTCACAATGTCAAGCATCTCAATCTGAATGGAGCACACGGGCCACTGTTAGGCAGGATGCCCAAGTCCGCTACGTAACTCTTACACTGGTGTCCTCTGCATGGCCAGCAAGATGGACACCCTCTTTCATATTTCATGTGTCCTGACAGTCCTCTTTTTTTAAAAAAAATTCCAACCACTATATAAACCTGCTCGATCACTCAGATTTGCTGGGGAGGCTCCCCTCTTGTCCAACTACTGAGAACAGTCAGTTTTGTGGAATCATGGGGGAGGGCTTTTCTGCCATAGCGCCCAAACTGTGGAATAGCCTCCCCTTGGAGGCTCGATTGGTGTGGGCACCAAGCCAAAGCATACTTATTTATTAGAGCCTTTGGGGGTTGAGGATCAGTACCTGTGTAGGATTTTAGTGAAATGGTTTTTATGTTCTTCTTCGTGGTCTCAAGTCTACTCTGGGTGGCTAACAATAATAAATAGAATAAAAACAATATAATAAAATAAAAAACAACAATAGTAATACAGTTCAAGATGGAGGGGGGGTGGAATTCAAGTGATGACAGGAGGGAAAGCCTGCCTAAAGAGCCAGGTCTTAAGTTTGCTCTTAAAAGCACCCAGTGAGGGAGCCAGACAGATCTCTGAAGGGAGACTGTTCCAAAAGTGAGGGGCCACTGCCGAGAAGGCCCAGTTTCATGTTCTTTCTCCCTGGGCCTCCCTTGGCATTAGGCCCCTCAGCTGCCCTTCCTGGCTAGAATGAGTGGTTCGGGTAGATCTAGGTGGGAGGAGGCATTCTGCTAGATATCGAGGTCCTAAACCATTTAGGGCTTTATATGTCATCATTAACACTTTGAAATCAATGTGGAAACAAATGGGCAGCCAGTGCAAGGGAGCAAGAGTGGGGGAGATATGCTGATATTTTCTCATCCCACTGAGAAATCTGTCTGCTGCATTCTGCACCATTTGAAGCTTTCACATCAGTCTCAAAGGTAGCCCCACGTAGAGCGCATTAATCTTGAGACTACAAGCGCATGGACCAGAGTGGTGAGCGCCCCAACATCAATATAGGGACGCAGCTGGGCAATCTGCCACAGATGGAAATAGGCAGAGTGGACCACTGATGTGAACTGAGTTTCCATGGTGAGCGCCACATCCAGATGGACCCCCAAACTGTGAACCTCACTCTTCGCAACGAGTCACCCCCCCAAAAGAAAGGGAGTTTCCCAAACCACCAATGGAGGGGCCACCCACCCTCAGGACCTCCATCTTGTCTGGGTTCAGCCTCAGTCCATTCTCCTGCATCCATTGGAGTACAGCCTCCAGGCAGCGCTGAAGGGACAGAACGGCATCCACTGTGGTTGGAGAAAAGGAGATGTTGAGCTGGATGTCATCAGCGTACTGATGGCACGAAGCCCCACACCCCCTGATGACCCCACCCAGGGGCCTCATGTAGATATTAAACAGCATTGGGGAGATAACTGAGCCCTGTGGAACCCCACAATTAAGGTGCCATGGGGCCGAAACATTCTCCCCAAGTTGTACTCTCTGAGGACAGTCCTCCTAGCTCGGAGAGCCTCCCCAGGAGGATACCATGGTCGACAGTATCAGAGGCAGCTGATATATCGAGGACCAATAAAGACATTTTGCCCCTGTCAGCCTCCCTCAACAGGTCATCAAACAGGGCGACCAATGCCGTTTCCGTACCATTGTGCAGCCTGAAGCTCGACTGGAATGGATCCAGGGCATTGGTTTCATCCAAAAGAGCCTGGAGTTGGTCAGCCACCACCCTCTCTACCACTTTGCTAAGGAAAGAAACATTGGCGAAGGTCCTATAATTGACAGTGTTGCCTGACACCAAACTTGGTTTCTTTCTAATGGACCTAATGAATGTCTCCTTGAGGAAAGACCCATTAATTATTGCTGTGGCCCATTCAGATGTTATAGGCCTGGCTGCTTTGATTAGCCAGGCTGGGCAAGGGTCAAGGGAGGAGGTGGTGGCATGACAGTGGTCAAGCTCTGTGTCCACCATATCTGGCATCACAGGCTGAAAGAGATCAAGTCTCATCAGGCAAGGCAGAGCGCTGGATGTCTCTCCTTGATCTACTATGTTCAAAAAAGGAGAGAGCTCCCGGAGGATGGCCTCCACTTTAGATTTTTAAAATGCTGCAAATTGGTCAGGTGAATATTAGGAGGAGGCCCATCACTTAGACTAATTCTGGATAGATCGCGAACTATATGGAAAAGTTCCACCTGCTGATTTGAAGCTTCGCTTATCCGGACAGTGGAGTGAGCTCGACTGACAGCCCTCACCTTAGTAAGGTAGTGGTTAGTCACGATCCTGACAGCTTTCCAATTATAATCCATTGGATTCCGTCTCCAAATGCACTCTAGCCTTCTTCTATTTTGCTTCATAGCTCGCAGTTCCTGGTTAAACCAGGGCACAGGCCGAGCTCTGCAATGGAGAGGACGTTTAGGAGCGATCTTGTCAACAGTCCTGGTGGCAGCAGCAAGCCAGCCATCAACCAGAGCCTCGACAGGAGCGCCAGTCAGATCAGCCGGAATCCCTCTCATGGAATCCTGGAATCTTATAGGATCCAGTAGCCTTCAAGGACGGAAAATTAAAATAGGTCTCTGCTGCCTGCAGGGAGGGAAAACCACTGAAAGCTTAGATTTTATTAGGTGGTGATCCAACCATGACAAGGGAACTGACCATGAGACCACACTCACTTCGCTCAGTGGAGAACACCAAGTCTAGTGTGTGACCACCTACGTGTGTGGGGCCATTAACATGCTGGGAAATGTCCAAGGAAGCCATGGTATCAAAGAACTCAAGAGCCAGAACAGAAACCTCTGCCTCCGCATGGATGTTGAAATCACCCAAGACCAGAAGCCTCGGTGATTCCAACAGTGCCACAGAGACAAATCCGCCAGTTCTGGTAAGGAAATGCCTGGGTTGTGGGAAGCGCGGTAACCTAGCATGATCCCAATACCATCCCTGGCCACAACAGACACGTGGAGGGCCTCCGGATCTGGCTTCACCACCGTAGAGCACCTAACAACCTCCAGGGTGTTTCTAGAAACAATGGCTACTCCCCCCCCCACTCTGGTGCTGGACTGCATAACTGGGAGGACAGGCAAGAGTCAAGGGAACACCCATTCCCTGCCCATCCAAGGTTCGTTTATGTATGCCAGGTGTGCATCCTCCTCCAGAATAAAGTCTTAGATAATCTGGGATTTGTTGGATACAGACCTGGCATTCAACAGCACCAGATTTAGAGTGGAGGGACAGCTGATCTGACTACCTTGAGACTGATGGTTGGTCACAGTGCCAGAACAGTGAACAGCCTTCAAACATCTGTTCACCGTTCTTCTGAAATGAGTAGGAACTGTGCCATCACCATATCTCCTACCCATAATCACTCAGATGTTCAAAGGACCCCGCTGTCATAGAGGGTGGACAATAAATAAATAAAAAAATTAAAAAGTTTTCTAACACTGCATTTCTCATCAAGTCCTAACTACAGTACAATACATTAGGCATTTCTCTTACAAAATGACAATTTACAGTTTAATTTCTGACTATTACATTCACAAATCCAAACTCTGTGTTATTATAACATACATATACATAATTTTATATTTAAATGCTGACAATATTTTCCCACTTACAAAATTTTTCACCAATAGTTCCTATCCATAAGCATTTATATATGCTTAAGCTTTTTAGGCTGCAGTCCAAATTGCTCACAAATACAAGAAACAGTTTACATCATATGGATTTGCTTATACTGCAATGTCAGTCCAAAACCTTTCACATTTTCCTAGGAGAGAGCTACACCAAAATGTGTGGTACAGCTGAGACCAGCATTTCTTACATAGTGGGCTATAAATGCATTTTCTTTTGAATTAAGTATATCAAATTTTATGTAGCATAAATCACATTTAGAATGGTTCACTTTAACACTGGTACATACAAAAATGAGCCAGCTTTCCAAATATTTCCATTAAAATAACCATTTTGCCAGTTAATCTGTTTATCACAAAAGTAATGACTCACATGATTCCATCAATTTGGCTCGAAAGACACTCAAATGGCTCCTGCAATTCCATATGCCTGCCCCCTCTGAGAGCAGACAGAATTCATAGGAGAAGCATTCACATTTACCTCAAAAATCATAAGTATCCTGCTATCTCGGAGATAACGTTCATATGGATAAGCTTTCATGTAACCATGTCCTCCAAGAATTTGTAAAGCTTCACTTACGCAGTCCCATGCACCTTCAGAACTAAACACCTGCCAAGAAATAGTTGAAATAATTCTTGTTATTCCTACATATGTTCACCCAGGAAATACAAAATGAGTCAATTCAAATGTTCTCATACTTCAACATAGCTTGTAAATGAAGGTTGAAGCTAAGCACAAAAAAGCATAGCAGGATCAACAAAGGAGAGCATCAAAATATTCAGCAGTTATTAGCGGCAGGAGAATATAAGCACAGATGCGACCCAGTTTTGACCCCTCAACCTATGGGACTAAATCCACACATTTCAGATTCAGAGATGATCCAAGCAGAAGAGACCTACAACAAAAAGTTGCAGTATGGAGTTCTATTCAATGTTCTAATCAACGAACCAAGCCATCTTCTAAAATACTCTGTTCTTCTCCATTCCCTCCCCACTCATCCCAGTTGGTCAGACTTTTGTGCCCACCAAACATACTCTGTTCACACTGGATTGCACTTTCTGCCTATGGTTTCTTCTCCAATCTCCTTTTTGTACTTTTGCAAAATTTACACCTGCTGATAATTCCCTCTCATGATGCTTATTTGGCTACAACAGGAGTGGCAGTCTAAGAACTGAGTTCACTATTAGTTCAATATGATATGCACTACAAAAAAGGTTGCCTGCATGGTAGGGTAGACTTCCTGCTTGCAATCTCAGTCTGGCCTGAGGAACTTCCTGGAGAAGCTCCACCTATCAGCCTATATGGGAAAGACTCTCTGCCATGTCCAGTGATAACAGTGGGGCCTCCCTTCCCAAGGTGGTCACTCCTTAGTTACTTCTGGAAGCGCCAGCTGAGCCCTGACATATGGCATTGGTTGAACACTCGCAAGTATCCTTCTCTAACTCTCTTTGATTGCTTGCAGCTTAGTTTTGCTTTCACCTTAGTGCAATATCCTCATAGAGGCAGTCATGTTTCAAATGCATTTAATAGGATTTATATAAAATTGTTGACCAACTGGACTGCGTTCAAACAAAAAAGGGGAAGAGGAAGCACATAAAAATAAGGTCATCTTTTTCTATAACTTTTACAATTTGACAATCACCGTACTGATTATTTGTAGCTTTCACCATTAGTACATTTCAGTAAAGCTTACTTTAACCATGGCTGCTTCAATAGAATAATCTGATATCCCAGGCCTATCCATCATTCCTGCAGTGAGATAGGCCATGCTTTCCATTACGTAGGCTTTCCGAGCCATAAGGGCAAACTTGTCCTGAAAAAAGAGAACAGTGAGATGCCATTCAGAGTGGAATCTCTTGCAACCACTCACTTCAAGAGGCTAGTCATTATTTGTTTTCAGACAAAGGATGGCGAATACACAGTGTATCAGTCTTACAAAATTGAGTATATTTAGTCACTTCTATAGATTATTGTTACTATATCTATATGCAGTGAAAGTTTTTCATGTTCTTATTAGCCCCCCAAATTATTCCAAATAGCAAATCAAACCCATATACTCTCTGAATTACCTGAATTAATTCAAATTCACTCAACTTCTTATTAAACTGTTTCCTCGTACAAGCATATTGTGCTGTTATTTCTTTTTTTAAAAAAAAGAGAGAGAGAGAGAGAGAGAGAGAGGGTCAAAGAGTTAATCAACATTCAAGTTTTAGGACTCATTTTGGAAATAAAACACATCTGGGTCCCATCATGAAAATGGGCAACCGTAGTGCACCATCATGTGAATATCCATTTCCTGTGTTGTCACTACCACTTCTATTCTAGACTGCAAAGTTTCTTAAGTCAAATAAAAAAAAACCCAAAGATATAAATTTTGATGCCAAACTTACCTACCAGACTGTGAATCAAATCAATTCTCACTCTCCATAGTGACATTTAGGAATGGATTACACACACCTCCTTTCACTAAAGATGACCATTTACTAAACCATTTCTATATCTAACAGCTCAAATATGCCTTAATGAGAAACTTAGAAGTATATTGATGCTCCAGAGGTCTGCAGGCATTTCAAGTGTTATTCCTTTTGTTCAACTGCCTATTTCTAAAATACTGAAGGAACAGGTACACATATTGCCTGAAATTCTTTTTCATAAGTTACACCACATAAAACTGATGATGACATTATGAGCCACGGTATCTTCTAGAAACAGAATATTTCCAGTTTCCCACCCCTAAATGTCCTGAGGCTTTCATGGAATCCCTTTTGTCATGGGCAAGCAGGGGAAGCCTCTGATTTTTGAAAATCACCACCAGAAGTAAAGTCATCCTGGTGGCAGCAATTTTCAGAATTAAGACCCCCCCCCCTCCTGTGGCCTCCAAGGGCTTACTCATGAAGAAAGGGATCCTGCGGGAGTGTTAGGTTGGGGGGAAATCA